CCAAAGCAGGTTTACTTGGGCTGTCTCAGTTGAAAAGCAGCCAGTCCATGGAGCTGGAAGCTTCAGTTCAGTCCCTAGACTCCTGCTTGCTGTCTCAGGTACTTCACCTGCACCTGCCACTAGTATTCTCACCTGCTCCTCAACACCAGCACTGAGAAACCTGAATTAATAGATGGCCCAGTATAAAAACTCCTCAGAGACAAGTCTGGCAGCTCACTAACCTGCTAGTGCTATGAGCAACTTTCTTACGGGTAAAACACCCAAACAAAGACACTAATTGGTTTATCCCTATACCGAGTTAGGGAGATTGAAATGAAAGATCGGTGCCTTGCCTCGTTCCTGTCAAAGCTGGCAGTGGAAGTGTTTGTTTGAACACAGAAATGTGGTTATGGCAGCCCCAGCGCTGCTCCCGAGGCACAGCCGGGATCCGCGTTCTCGGAAACGCCGCCACCGAGCCGCAGCTCGGCTCCAGGAGGAAGGTGCAGATAAGGGCAACTGCTGCCCTCAGAGTGCGGCAGGTGAAAGATGGAGCCGACAGAAAGGGGAACAGGCTCCAGTCTGCGATCCGAGCCACGTCACCTTCCCTTGGCTGGAGGCACTGGTGGAGCTGGGAACATGCCTGCACACACGTGCGCTCAGCCATGGCAACGCCCCAGCCCAGCACAGGCTGTGCCACAGAAACTGGGTTACACAAGTACCCAGGTGAGCTCTTCATTCCCATTTTCCAATTTTTATTCAGCAAAAGTCAAGCACTTTAGAGAATCTATGCAATTTGATTAATTACCTTAAAATGTTCAACTAAAAAAAAAAAAAAGAACAATCCAGAAGACAATGAATTACAGCTAAATGTAGCTTCTTGCAGTTGGTGAGCTCTTTTTATAGCACTGTATATATTGTATCCATCTCTGGCAGCAATCACAAAACAGGGAACAGAGTTTAAAGCCTCAGGATTGTGCATGCGTAATGAGATGAGACACTTCCTTCACGAGGGTAATGTGAAACAGAAGTAACAAAGCAAAACAAGAACAATCTCCTTTGTGCTGCACACAGATTACATCATGATTCATATGAATTCCTTGTACATTATTCCTTTTGTGTCCCGCACTGATCAAGCATTTTTCCTTTTCAAAAAAGGCTCTGGACAGTTTCACAAAGGGTTAAAGCTTAAAAAGGGAGAGAGAAAAAAAAATCCTTGTTGAAGAATGCGGCCGTGCAAATGAAACTGAAAGCCTCGGCACATGCACATGGCCACAACAGCTAAAAAATAACTCATCACCCGGATAAAAACTTGAAACCCACAGTCTGAGGCATTTTAACAAGTGTGTTCAATGTTTCTACTCAGCTGAAAGAAAATCAGTTGCAAAATGCACACTGAAAGCAAACAGTGAATTTTGGTGATTTAAGGATACTGAAAGCTGTACCTCTCCTTAAGAAAAAAAGAAAGAAAAAAAAGAAAACAAAAAAGACAGACAGATGTTCTGGGAATACTATGGCATTCTACAATTCCTTTTGAAGTTTAAATAAAGAAAAAAAAAAGAAATAAAAAATCCGAAGCAAAAAATAGCCCTGCTTCTTTTCAAGTGACTGCTCAAAATAGCTTGCAGTATTAAAATGAAAAGCCCTTAAAATGAAAGCGGAGCGAGCCCACGCCCGGCAGCGGAGCGGAAGCGGGGGGAGGCCGCTGCCGCCGCCCGCTGCCGGCGCTGGGCCCGCTGCGCTCCCGGGGGCCCGCGCGGCGCGCGCAGCCCGCGCGCAGCCAATGGCGGCGCGGCCGGCGCAGGGCGGCCTTTGAACCCCGCGGCCGCTTCCCGCGGCGCCCGAGCAGTGCGGCACAAAGAACAGCCATTTTGTGACAGCGCCGGCCGCCGCCGCCTGCCCGAGCCGCCCGCCCCGGCCCCTCCGCTGCCCCAGCGACAACGGGCTGCCCCCTGCTCCCAGCGCCACGCACCGGGGGCAGTTTGTGCTTAACGCGACCGTTTCCCTCCTCTCCCCCCCTCCGCCAAATGCTGGTTCGTGTGCACCGACATCTCCATAAAATGGCTGCCACGTCAGGCGAGGGTGTTGTGCTGCGCAAAGCCCTGCGCTGGGAGGTGGCTGCTGAGCAAAAACACGCCATTTCAGACCTCGGAGCTCCAGCTCTGCACAGAAAAAGGCCTGGGAGCTAACCCACCGCATCCTTTTTTTCCCCAAAAAAAAGATGTTTTGATGCTAGAGAAGCCCAGAGCTGGATACAGACACAAGGGCTGGCCCAGCCTGGCAGGGTCTGCAGCTCAAACCGTTCCCACGCTGGGTATTTCAGAGGTGGGAGAGCAACTGCAACAGATACAGGCCAAGGAAAGGAAAAACTACGTATCCCACGCTTGTTACTTGCTATCTCTGCAAAACTCACTCCGGGGCTTCAGGGGGGCCCCAGCCTGCCTCTGGCTCTGTACTTCCCATGAGGGCCGACCGTGGGTGATGTACCTTCACACTACCTGCCCTTCAGACACGCAGCACAGAAGATGCTAGAAAATACAGCAGATTGTGTTCAACTACGCAAATCCCAGGCACACTGGTGGGGGTCAGCAATAACTGCAGCAGACCCAAAGCAACTTTTACTTTGGGCAAAGTTGCATGAATCCTGCAGCTCCAAGTTCGATTTACTGCCAAAGCACAAAGGACAGGTGTTGCTGGGCACCTGGAAAGGCAGGAGTACAAGCCTCAGCTTACAAACTGTAAAGAGTTAACACCAGCTCTCTCCCCAGGAATAAATCGTCTGCTTTGGGACAATTCTCAGGCACTTTTGTTTATTCCACACAGGCCTTTGTATTCCCTTAGAACTGGAAAAGAAGGAGTCAATTCCTCAGTTAGGGCACTACAGTGGTGTGCAAAAACTGTATTTTCTTGCACTCTAACACCTTTCTCCAGCCCAGGTGAATGGCACTGGCTATATCCACCTCCTCCACCACCCAGGGTTCCCACCAGGACTGTGCAGCTTCCCTGTTCAGGTACTTCCATGGATGCCAAGCTGGTCTCAGCAGCATGTGAAGTGCAGACACCGGTGCATTTCGGGGTTACAATACAGCAAAGTGGTGGCTTTACTTCCTCGAAATCATTTCCCCTACTTCAGGTCAACCTCAGGAAGTAAAGCACATTTTATGACATTGAGCTGACTCACACCTCACAAATAAGCTCAACAGGGTTCACTTGCAAATATCCTGTGCTCAATTGTTCCCACACTTCAGGTGTGTTGGTGTCACACAGAGCAGGTTAATTTAGAGAAAAAAAAAGATGTGAGGAGGGAGAAGGGTTACCTCACACAACAGGTGTTAAATGCAAATAGATCAATTATGATAAATAACCTTTCAATGAAAACCCCAAAAGCACAGACACTATGCAAATCTCATACCCCTAAGGACAAAACCCCCTCTGGGACTCCTGCTACATGGCTCAGATTTTAGCTCTTATTCCTTTCCAACACTGGTAAAATGCTTTCAATTTCCTCAACAAATTATGTCTATTGCTGCTCTTGTTGATAATCTCCATTCAAAAAAGCACAAAAATTTATATAATCTGTAAAATAATTTTCATAAATGATGACTTTTTACATAATATTTTGTGTGCAGCATTTACAGTAAAGAAAGCACAGTATGAAAATCTGATATGTTTTTAAACTGCATTATTAGAAAAGCTCAGTTTAAGTGCTTCAACAATCCCTGAGGCTAATTTAGTTATTAATAATTTCAAATTAAACAATCTTACCCACATTTATTTTAGAATTTAAAATTTGACTGCATTTTTAAAACACCCAGAATACCATCCAAGTTTATACCAGAAGGTTACAGTAATTTGATAATATATATATTGCCACACTATTTCAAGTTCGTGTGCTTAAGGAAGGTTAAATACTGGACATCAGGAACACTATTCAAACACCTGAACATCACATAGAGCACATGTGATACAACAGACAGTTCAGAGTTCTTTTTTATTAATGTCGGTTAAAAATGCAGGAAGGCAACACCAGAGAAAAAGAAACAAGCCAAGATTCAACTGAAATTAACAAAATGCAAAACTCAGTAATATTTACAAACCAAAAACCAAAAATGCATATAGTTTAATTTCCAATTTTTGGAAGAAGTGACCTTTTAAATACAAAATGAACGATTTGATAATTGTACTTCTGCATTCCCAGCACACAAACATTTTCAGTATTTCATACTTTTCCCACATAAAGGTTAAGTTTCTAAAAATCTGTAAAGAATCTCATTACTTGACAAAAGTAAATAAAAATACTCTGAGCAAAAATACGTTAAACAAAACAGGCAAATCATTTGGTGCCTCTTGTTAACAGTCCCTGTGTATATTTTATGATACAAAATGCCATCACCAGCAGGACAAAGTCTGGTTAAATTGTATAAAAATATTCTAAAATACCTCCAGAGAATCAAAGTTCTACAAGCTCAAATAAAATTTGAAGTAAGAGGTATCCGACAAACAGGCACTTTCCAGTTTATATTTTAAAATAAGCTTTTTTTCATTCATGTAACTTTTTCTTGTGCCTATTTACTATAATTTACTACTACACCAGGCTTCTGTATGGCCCTCAGTTAAAGTTTAGACTTCTGAGATTCTTCAAAGAAAAATTTGCCTTGTATGTAAAATGGTGCAATGCAGCAATGGCTAAACCGACAAGGTCATTTTTCACAGCACAAAAAACCTAAAAACTGAAATTCAAAAGCTGGAAAAACATCATACAGGGGCAAGGGCTGCCCTGAATAAAGGTACAGTACCTTTTGCCTAGGACATGGGCCCTTAAGTCACAACACAAGTTTCAGAAATTGCTACCAAAAAAAATTAGGGTGTGGCATGCTAACAATCTCAAGGTCATTCCTTAAAAAGGAAGCAAAATCAGTAAAATGTTTTCTATTAAGCACTGACAGTAACCCAAGGCTGTCAAAGTAAACAGGGTATTCACAGGTTTTACAAAAAAAAAAAAAAAGAAAGTTGATAGGTCATACCTCGATGCATTGCTGTGGACTGAACCCTCCTCTCCTTGGCTTTTGTCCTTATTTCTCATCATCTTTTTATTCTTAAATATTAAAAGGGGGTCAGGGGTGTCTGTTTGCTTTGAAGTCCTGTGCCCAGGTATTTACTGTCAAAAGTTGAAAGAAAGGTAAGGTCCCAGTTCGTTTCACTGGCTTTCATTATCAGGAACAAAGTCCTGACGCTGCAATGATATTGTTATAACAATACACAGCACTGATCAACACGGCAAACCCGAGATTTAAAACAAATAATCATTTTTACAAGAAAAATCCGAGAATAAACACAGGAGAGGAGCATCCTGCAAACTTTCCCAAAGTAACACTGGATGCAAATAATCTCTGTATCTTATTGCGTCATCCCAATACAGCACAAATCGGTCGAAAATCAAAGTATTCAAAACGGCAGAAATCTAAAAATTATTAATTGCTCACCTACCTGATCCATGCACCGCCGCCAGGACCAAGTCGATATTAGTTTCGGGTAGTGGAAAAACATTAGATCCAAAATATTTGTAATTATACCGATAAAATATAATTTTCAGAAAATAAAAAAAAATATATATTCTAATCCCAAAAATATGCTGCCGATAAAGCAAAAGAAGCGGTAATTAGTACAAAAATGTCCGGGGGAAAAAGCTCATTAGGAGAGCGCACAAAAATGGAGGTACGCCATGGCTTCTAAGCTGGAAAAACAACGACCTGGGCTCTCTCCACGGCTTCTTCTTTCCAGCAAGGCACGAAAAGGGAGCCCTCAAAAGCTGCTTTTCTGCCCGAAAAAGGTCCGCTCGGCCCCCGATTAGTGCCTAGGAGAGGCAAGGGGCTGTGGGGGCCCCCTGAGGCTGCCTGAAAGTTAGGGAAAGTTGCGTAAAGTGTTGGGGAAGGCACGGAGCTGAGCGCGCTCTCTCTAAGGCACAGCCGCCATCTAGAGCTCCTTCCCAGCTCTGAGCTCTGCCTTTGATTGACACTCTCTACATTTACCCCACAACTCAGGTGATGTACCATAGACCCACCCCTTCATTTCTACCAAAAAAAGAGAGAGCCTCCACCTAAAGGGTGCCTGCTACCCCACAGCCCTGGCTCCTTCCAACTACCCCAGCTCAAGGGGCACCTTAACCCCATGTGGCTCAGGCACCCTTTGGAAGCCAGAAAGAAATGGAATTTGTGCCTTTTGTTTTAAAGATTTGCTAAATATTTCAGTGCCTGGGCTAAAATTACTTCCTCCCTGGACAGGAAGTGGTGCTGCTACAAGCCATTTTGAAGGCATGGAAGTGGAGCTCACAGCCATGCAGGCAGCAGCAGCCCACCCTGGGGGTCACCCCACCCAAGGGGCAGCTTCCCCCCAGTTCGGTGGCAGAATCCCCAGACAAGAGCTCTTCCCTTTGCCCCCCAGTGCTGGCACTGGCAGGGGGGGACAGGAGCATCCTCCACTCCCAAGCCAAGCCCACAGAGCTGAGATTGCCCTCCGGCTCCACAGCGCCTCCCTAGTGGTTCCCCCCACAACTCAAATCCAGCAGCCACACCGCTTCCATCAGCTACGCCAAAGCACTGCGCTCAAGCCAGTCCAACTCCATCAAACTGCTCATTTCTAATGCACTTTCTTAACCCATTCATGGTCATTAACAGATTTTAACAGAACAAATTAATTTTAAAGCTGCACAATAGCCAAGCTGCAGAATTGCAAATCAATCAATGGACATCTCCAACACGACATCCTGGAATTGAGAGGATGTATCACCAAGGGAATGGAGGTGATCCAAGTACCCCCATACCACTTGATTCTGACTACCAGTTGTCTTCCATGACCAAAACCAACCCCTTAAAGCGTAAGAACATCTTGCATATTCATAAGCATCACAACAAGACAGAGCCATCAGCCACTGGGGGACCACTGGAGGACAAAGGGGCAATGGGCAAGTTTGGGGTTCTGTGGGAACATCCATGGCACAGCATCCCAACAGCCCAAAACCATTGGCTTTGACCATCAGAACCAACACCATCCCCTTTAATTCCTCCACAGAGCTGCCATTTATCTCCTACAACCATCCATCCTCTTTCCACAAGGGGTTTCATTAGGAACTCTCCAATGCCACAAGCCATTAAAAAAATTCCACTTTACCAATTATTCACAGAAGACTCCTTGCACCTCAACTGTAAGAACTAAAGAACCACAATGCAAGACTATTCCAAATATTTTTTGGTAACACTAAGGAAATCCACTCATTTGAATGAGAAACCCTTCAGGTTGGTCCCAGAATCCAACTCCACCATAAAAACACACGGCAAAACCAAAGTGGGGCAAGCGTGTACCACCAAAATGGCTGGATGGAACAGGTATGAGCAACTCATCATGGCAAAAACGGGTACTTCCAAAAAAGTCCGAACAAGGCAAATAGTTAAACACAGACAATGAACAGGAATTTGTTTGGGTTTTCAAATATAATTTCAAGATTATCTCAGCACCAGGTTTACCATTTTGACCCTCCAGCACAAAACAAAGACAACTTTGACTTTCAGGTGAAACATATAAATGCCTACAGTTAAATTATTAGATCCACTAGAAACCTGTAAGAAAATCATGACTTCAAATATCAGAACCATTTTAGAATTCATTTGCAAAGGTTAATATGTCATTTGTAGCCATATCAAAAATAACTCATTTTTTTCTCATCAAACACATGGCACAGTATTGTGACACTGAGGCTACATGCAAGAGCAGTGAAGCAGATTGGACACTCGCACAGAACAATTTTAAGACCAAAGAGACTGTTCAGGAAGTCTGTAGTCCAGGAAATCTGTTGAAAAGTTTCGGTACGCACACACAGCCCAAGAACATACCTAAAAAAGTTATACAAAACATTCAAGTACTCCTTTATTGTCGTATTTTCTCAGCCTTCAATTGGTATCAATTCCATCTTAAAATAACTTCACAAAGTTCAGCAGCAGTGCCCTGACAATAGGCCAAGTACTGAAAACCCCTCATATTAAGCACCTGAATGAACAAGCCAGTGAATAAAAATTCATTGGAAGTCATGGCAAAGTGAACATAATTTGCAAATGAAAACCACATTTGATACCAAGTATAGCACAAAATTTTACCTTGCCTTCAGTACTTAGCTAAAGTATTTCCCAGTTTAATAGCAACCAAAAATGTAACCCACTTCAGTATCGAGTCAATAAAAAATATTCAGCCAGAAAGGACAAACACAAAGTGTGAAATAAACCAAAACCTTTTATTTAAAATCACTTCATAAATTACATTTTCTCAAAAGCAGTAGCAACAGATCTTTTACCAAATTAATTTGCCTGTCATGCAAAAACAACCCAAAACGAAAATTTTGCCACCCAGTCCTCAAACAGATCCATCACTGGACAGTCACTGATTAATTCAAATGCAAGTCCATTTTGATAGGATGATCACAACCCAGATCTTCTCTGGTTTAATAACATGAGAGTCCACGTTTTAACATCCTTTTCTCGGACAGACATCCCAGCACTCATGCATTAGTCCATTTCCTCAACCTCTCATTCCCCAGTGGAACTGCCATCTTGGTGTCTCATTCGTAGACTCCTTTTGACACTCTTCATCTGAATGGATTCTTTATGAAAAATTAGAAGAAAAATGCTGTTGGAACACACATCATTGCTTTAAACTGAGACATTCAACTACTGTACCTTGAAGATAATTTAAACATGTAACTCATGCTTCATTCCATGTTACACAGTCCACAATATCTACTTTTATCAGAAACAATGGAGAATAATCAATTCAAGAATAAAAGTAAGTTTCACCAAAACTATAAAAAATGGGAGAAAATATCAGAAGTCCAAGAACCCCTTCAGGATCCATGAATTCCATTTGAAATTTTTAAACCACTAGAGAAATCTGTGGTGGGAAATCAAAGAAATTTGCTCTTGCAACCATTTTCATTGCACTGGCCCACCCCCTGAAGCTGACATTGCTTAGCAGAACACCAAGGTTCTTGTAACAAACCAAAATTTTTAAGTACTCTTCAAGCTCCTTTCTTTAAAGACACAGATCCACCAAAACCAATGAAAACTGGTTTCTTATAGACAGATGGTGGGTGATTGGACACAAGACATTCCACCATCTTAACCCAGTTTTCCAGCTCATGAAAGATGTACAGTGCAACAGCAAACACGCTTCCAAGCAAATGGAATGACTGGTTTAGTTACTGGTGGGAAAGGACACACCAGAAATCAGACAAAACGGTCACAAGTCACACTAGCTACCTTTAGCAAGGTAATTCCAACTGTACTCATCATGGAACTGCAACCAAGCCCACAGGTGAGTGACAAAACAAGCTGAACAAACAATATCTACATGGATAAATATAAACCAAATGTTCCCATCTTTCTATCTTCTTCTAAGAAATATAAGCTCAATTTACTTCAAGTAAAACCTTACTCCTCCTCACATGCAAAACTTAGGTACAGGAAGTTACTAAGTGTTAAGAACATCATTTTGAAACCAATGCTGACATGCAAAAAAGGGGTTTAAAATGTCTTCATGATTTTGAGTATCTGCATTCCAACATCAATTTATATTTTTGAATATGTATAGGTTTAACCACATTTTAGTCTGAAAGCCAATTTCACCACCACTCTGCTCCCTGATAATCCTGGGCAGATTCTGACAAGGGTTGCAGAAATTACCCATAGCCCAGCAAAAACCAGTGGGGCCATCTAGTGGTCTCTGCCTCTGCATCCCAGCTTCCCCAGTCTCATCTCAAAATAACCAGTTACAGCAAAGCAAAGAGCACTGGAAGCAGTGCAACAAGCCCAGTCTGACTTTCACAAGTACCCATGTGTCCTGTTTTATGCTGTTCTATACTTCCCTGTTTTAAATACAATGGGAAAGTCGTGCACATAGAAGTGGAATATGACATCTGGTAATTTCGCTTTGCACTGTGAAACATGAATAGCTGCAGGAGTATTCAACCCCAGGACATTCATGCTTTCAGAAACAGAACTTTCAAGTTTAAAGAAATGCTCTATTTCAAACATTCAACTCATCCTCAGTTAAGACAATGTATTAAATATTTTGAAAGGTGTTTTTCCCTCCCATTAAGCTAGTTTTGGGGTTGCTTTGGGTTTGGTTTTTTTTCCAGTTCTCACCAAATTAATTTCAAATCTATTTAGGCATTTGAAGATGAATTAAAATTTTGAATGTTTTTTCATGGTAATGTCTTGACAGAAGTATCAAAACATGAAAAAAAACACCACAAAGTTGTTGCATTATTGACACAATCAAACACTGAGAAGTACTAACATACGTACAGTAGATATCCCATAAATAAGACCATTAAAGTTATTTTTAATAAGCCTAAGATATAGAAATCCAATTACTGACATGAACTTTCCTCACCTCTAAAAAAGGTAATTTAGTTATGCATTAGTCACCCTTTAAAAGGCTCTTTCCAGCTGGGTTAGCCCTCTGCCTCAGACACTCACAGGACCTGCCAAAAGCAATTTCAGGGCAAATTTCCCCGCTCGGTTCACCTACACTTGGTTGGACCAAGAACTTCACAAGTAACCCCATGACCTTCATCTTAAATGCTTCTCTAAATCTTGTAAAATAATTAGCAGTAAACAGAACTGATGAGGTATTAGAATTAAGAACACATTCTTGTTCTCCAAGTTATTATACCTCAAAAAGATGCCACAGGAATGGCCAAAATATTAATAGCAGCCTCTACACTTGTGAAATTTACATTTGCTTTAAAAGATTTCACAGCATTTGTTTACTTATCAATTGAGGCACATTATACTAAGAAATTTCAATAATGTTACAAAAATACACTCCTCCATGAAGACATACGCAGTGATCCTACATGTGAGGAAGATACTGGAAAACCCATTTTTTTTCCTAGATGACATGAGTCTACCATTCCTTCTGTAAAATGATTTAGGCATCCGCCCATTTTTCAAGCTTCTGTTATCTACTAGTTACTGGTTTGGTTTCCAAGCACTGTTATTTTTGTCATGATAAATCAGGGACCTGGGTAGTCCTGTAATCCTGACAAAGTTACCTTCAAACCACTGGTAACATGTTGGCACTCCATGCCATCCATTCCCAACCTGCTTAAAGGTTCAAGGCAACAATTACAAAACATCTGAGTTTACAAAGTTTTTCTCTTCAGCTTCTTTTGCAATTATTTGTTGCTGTATTAGAAGATTGCAGCAACAACAGACGTCCCTTATAGCCAAACCCACGGCTTCAGCCATTTCAGGTCCACTGTAACCCTGCATTCCTTAAAGGGTGAGACCGAAGCCCAACACGTACAATATCCATGCACAAGACACCAATACATCTACAAACTATTCCAGAATGAAATCTGAGGCTCAAACTCTTAACCGAGGTGACCTACTTGGGAAAGGGAATTCACTCCAACAGAGGGAGCAGAATGGACAAAATGAGGTTCTGAGCAAACCAAACCTCAAGTTTTACACTTCAAAGCCCATTAAACCAAAGTTTTATTCTCAATGACATCCCTGGTAACTTTTACACTGGAGGAAAGAAGTGTCCCCTATTGGCAGCTAAGTCCATTATGTTATTCTGTACCATCCTTAGCAGGAACTAAGTGCTCTGGACAGCCCTAAGTCTGCTTTTACCACCTTTAGGTGTTCCTTAAGCAGAGCAGTAAAAGCACAACCCATGTAGGGTTGGGTATTTATAGGTAAGAAAGGCTATTTCCCAGGTTTGTCACATTTCAAGGTTAATTCCA